AATGACAGCCTTTCAAATATTTAAAGAGAGCAATCATGCCCCCCCATCTCTTCTTCTCCAAATTAAACATTCCCAAGGCCCTTAGCCTTTCCCCGTAAGGCTCAGTCTCCAGACACCTGATCATCCTCGTCGCTCTCTCCTGCACCCTCTTGATTTTGCCCACATCCTTTTTGAAGTGAGGCCTCCAGAACTGTACACAGGACTCCAGGTGCGGCCTGACCAAGGCAGTATACAGAGGAGTTATGACCTCCTGCGATTTTTGATGCTATGGCCCTTTTAATATAACCCAAGACGGAATTTGCCTTTTTTGCCGCTGCATCACACTGACTACTCATATTTAGTTTAGTTCTCTCAAGAGTAGTTCTCTCAAGAGCTCTCTCAGCCCCACCTACGTCACAGGATGCCTGTTGTGGGGAGGGGAAGGGAAAGGAGATTGTAAACCGCTCTGAGACTCCTTTGGGTAGTGAAGGGCCGGGGTATAAATCCAATTTCTTCTTCTTCTTCAGAGTTACTCCAGTCTGTCCACTGACTTTGAATTGACTTGGCAGGGAATAACTCTGTGGGGAAAGAACTGACAGCGCAAAGTGCCGTCAAGTCACAAGAGACTTATGGCAACCCTGTAGGTTTTTCAAGGAATGAGACAAACAGAGGTGGTTGGCCGCTGCCTGCCTCTGCGTAGCAACCCCGGACTTCCTTGCTGGTCTCCCATCCAAGTACTAACCGGGGCCAACCCTGCTTAGCTTCCGGGATATGACAGGATCGGGCTAGCCTGGGCCGTCCGGGTCACAGCTTTACAGATCTGTACCTATATAATCTGGAGTGCAAAATTCTGCATTCATGCCCTGACTTTTTCCCATAGCCCAAACACACACACACAGAGACAATAATTTTTTTTTAAAAAAAATCCCTGCACAGCTGCGACTTACAATTCTTCAAAAAGCACTGCTTCTATAGTTCTCCTCAAACAACCTTCATATATTTGACTGGTAATAGGAGCACCCTACTGTGTCAGATGCAATAACCCCCTCCCGGTGTGACTACGTAGGAGGACCCAAGGTTGAGACACAGAGAGAAATGAGATTAACCCAGATGGAAAGAGATGTTTCCCATTTTCAACGTTTTCTCGGGATGCATTTTAAGTGTGTGTCAAATATAAACACCGAGGGACAAGAAAGCGTTCCCTGTTTCCGTTCCTTCTTACAGCTGCTTCGATTTTTTGCCGACGGTTTTGGCATGGCCGTGCGGGTGTTGTGTGCTATTTATACCTCCGATGTATGTTGTTTTATATGCACATGTCATGCAGCCTGCTGTTTTACTGACTGACAAATAGTACCGAAGAAGGCGTCCATTTTGCAGGAAGGGGAAAAAACAAACATGGCTCAAGGAAACGTCACAGAAACAAAGGATTATAGCTTCAAGGTGCATAAGAGAGAAGGGAAATCAAAAACGTGTGGATTTTAGATAATAAAGCATTAGAAAAAAACCTGAAGTCTTCCTAACAAGTACAATCCTCAGCCCTTAGTTCTCCTTCTGTAGGGGTATGCTCCAACCACTGTTAT